CCTGCAAAGCTTTTAGAATCTTTGTATCACATCCCTTTGGAAGAACTTTCATAATGGCATATAAGTTTTCTTTTGCCTTCTATAATACAAGGCCCTTAAGTTAAACTTAACTTGACAAAATAAGTTCAGCCTTCTGGTGTCAAAAATACAATTTATTGTTCAAAACCCAATTCTGAGAGTAAACACTCCTTCTACTTCCCTTCTTTTAACCTATTTTTCTCTTATTCTATTTGGTAAGAAGCCCACATGACTTTGTCAAAGGTTTCTAGTGTCACCTAGTCAGAACTCAAAGCAGGTTTGCAGGTCTGGCTTAGGTATTACAATATTGTGATCAGCATTAGCAACTAACCAGGTATCTTATGCACGTCAACAAGAAGGCTTGTCTTCAATAACTCTTTCTTGCTATGTTGCTTCCTGAAGGACACAATGGCACTTAAACAATCCTCATGACAAATGGCCATTAACAGGTCTGTCCTCCTTCATGTACTGGTCAGGCTCCCTAAAGCCCTTGTCCATCAAATATAATCAGGGGGAAAAAATGGAATTCTTAGCTAAAGAATCCTCAAGGAAATACCTTAATACAGTGTTTTTCAACCTTAGCAACTTTAAAACATGCAGACATCAACTCCCAGAATTCTCCTGCCAGCATATTGGAGCATAGGAGCTGTGGTGGCGCACTGGTTAGAATGCAGTACTGCAGGCTAACTCTGCCCATAACCAGGAATTCGATCCGGACCAGCTCAGGGTTGACTCAGCTTTCCATCCTTCCGAAATCGGTAAAAGATTGTTGGGGCCAATATACTGACATTGTAAACCGCTTAAGAGAGTGCTATACAGCAGGGCTTTTCAACCAGTGGTACGGGTACCACCTGTGGTACATTGGCACCTGGCAGGTGGTACGCAACCATCCTAGAAAAGTGGTAGTGGGGGAGGGGAATGAGCTGAACTGGTGGCAGCACCGCAATCAGTTGGAAAGCAGTACTGATCCTGGCACTTCTGCTGAGTCCAGAAGAAGCGCCGATCAGCTGGAATGTTGCAGCATCTCCAGTGTCTTGTGATTTACATTCAGATGCTTGGCAACTGATTCATATTTATGTTGGTCACAGTGTCCCAGGGTCATGTGAAGTGACCAAAACCTGCTGCAACCACCCAGCAGACGGGGGGAATAAAAACCAAACACACCCCCTCCCCACCTCCACTGCCAATCCTCAACAGAAATGCTCACAATGAAAACCTCGGACAGGAGGAAGAGCGCCGCCGGGTGGGCAGGTAGGTATCTTGCTCGGCGGTGGCTTGGGGGACACTTTTTCCAGTGGCATTGTAACTTCGAACAGTCACTAAGCAAACTGTTGTAAGTCGAGGACTACCTGTACTTTTATCACTTTTTTCCCCTTTTTTTTTTTTGGTCATCAAGTTTTTGACACCTTACTAGGCAACTGGTGGTACTCGGATATTGCCATATCCTAAAAGTGGTAGAATGGGTGAAAAGGTTGAAAAGCACTGCCTTAATAAATAAATAGGATGCTCATTGAAGCATCCCAAAATAGATGTATTTATCAGAGTGCCCTCTCTTAAAGGCAAAAGGTACAATAAAACTATCATAGAGATAAGCAAAAGTTGTACCATTCAGCTAAAGATAAATTTAAAAGTGACGATATATTTAAAAGTAATGTCTTCTTCAAGTTTAACTTACTTTCTGATAACTTCAAGGATACTATACAGCCATCCATGTAATTTTCCTGACAATATGAAAGTGGTTTAACATGTCTTTGTGTAGGATGTATTTGGTATGAGGGAACCAGTGTTGGATTAGAGTGGAAACAAATGAGAGATAGTATCAGCTCTCTTGAAAAGGGCTTCAACTGGGGTGTTGCTACTTAAAAGGGTGCGTTGGCCATATGATTGTCAAGTAGAGGTACATTCACTATAAAGCAATTTCCTGCATCAGTTCTCCTTGAAAAGCTGGTTTGAAAGCATTTCAGATCCTTGAGTACCGTAATTCATCATACCTGCAAACAAGCTTTGAAAGCATTGGAGGGCATTAAATTGTCAATTTTATTATGTTCCTGATTTAAGTGCTACCTGGCACAAGCATCCGGAAAATATTAAATGTACTACAACTTTCCTCAATTGGGTACTTTCCAGACATGTAGAAGTACAAAGCGCATTATTATAAGCCAACTTAGGTGAAAATGATTAAACACTGAGCCTCAACAGATTTGAAAGACAGATAGTTGGAGACAGCTAGAAATACTCTTTTTGTGAGAATATAAGTAGGCTATCAAAAAGTGTAGTCTATCACCAAAATGAACATTAATCCCCACTAAAAAGCCTTAATGTTCTTAGCAGAAAGTTACTGCATCATCCCTTCAACTTTTTTACATTTAAAACTGTATAAGAATGAACTTTTCCCATGGAAATATGCTTCCAGTTTTCATAAATGCTGTACACAATGACTTCAATCTAGATAACATTGATTTGCAATGCAAGATGTTTTGCAACAATTTAGTTTCTGACTTATTATCATTATACTCTGTAAGCAAAATGAAATCAATACTCTACTGCAAGAACTATGCCCGTGGTGGCGAACCTATGGCACGCGTGCCACAGGTGGCACACAGAGCCGTCTCTGTGGGCACGCGTGCCATCGCCCCAATCCTAGGCCTTCAGCTGGGTTTTATGAAACCTTTTTGCTTTAGGCCTCCGCTGTCGTGTGCAAAAAAAAAAAAAAAGGTCCAATCAATCAATTTCAAGTTCTTGCGGGGAAAAAAAAGATCTCGCAAAGTTGGAATTGATTGAACATTTTAGTCCCACCCAGTCTGCCGTTACCACTGCATCCACGCCCACCCAATGGGCCACACCCACCCAATGGACCACGCCCACCCAGCACCTGACGATACATAAGTGGATTTTGGGTTACAGTTTGGGCACTCGGTCTCTAAAAGGTTCGCCATCACTGAACTATGCTAATGAAAATTATTTTCAAGATCATTTTAAGAACATCATGAGCTGCAATAAAAGCAGATCTATAATTTTCTATTTCCGTAGCCTTCTATGATTACACGTCAGGGTAATTATTTAAAGCAGAGGTCCCCAACCTTTTGGGCACCAGGGACCAGTGCCATGGAGAAAGATTTTTCCGCGGACCAGAGGGGGTGTGGTTTTGAATACTGCCTGCATCCCAAGAATGGAGCTTTGCTTGTTTGTGCGGCCCATTTGCTGGCATGCTGCGGACCAGTGCCAGTCCACGGACCGGGGATTGGGGACCCCTGATCTAAAGGCTAATGAGCTGATGTAATGTAATATAAGGTGGATGATGCAATGATAGGAATGACTCAGCAGGGTCTGTGTCTGTGTCTCTTTAAGAGCAAGCAGGGTCTGTATCCCTTTAAGAGCCTGAGTATAAAAGGGAAGGCTTTTGCTGGAGTCTCTCTCTCTCGTCCGTTTCCTGCTGTAACTACTGTGTATTGGAGTTTGCTGTATTACCACGTGTATGTATATTATTCCTGGTGTATGATATTTATAGATAGTGTATGATAATCCACCATTTAATACAAACCACGCTGTTTACTGTATTTATTCCTGGGTTATCGCAGCTCAGTAAGATTGTGCATGCTCTGACAGCACATTATTCCCCGAGTTTTGTCAATGAGGTCTATTTTATCCAGCTCTCAGGAAAGCTTTACTCCAGAAACATACATTAGTATTTGTGCGTTCTACTCTTCAAACCTGTTCTTCAACTTCTAGCTGACTTAAATTCATTTTAGAGCAGGTCTTGCTAGGTGTGGTATTTTGCTTTAATTGGGATCTGCACAAGAAAATTGATAAACACCTTTTTCCAAACACATGCTCTTCAAATGTGTTGAACGAGGATTTGCATTAGTTCCACACAACATCAGCACTTGAGAATGATAGGAACTGTAATACAATCCATCTACAAGGAATCAAGATTAGGATGGCTGTCCAGAGCTCTACTCCATGCAGATTGAAGGTTAATCCCTGTACTATGGAAATTCCATATCAGCTATTAAATTTTAAACCTCTAGAGTAGGTGTGTCTAACTTTGGCAACTTTAAGATTTTGAACTTCAACTCCCAGAATTCCCCAGCCAGCAATTAAATTAGATGAGACAGTGGAAAAATATTTCTGATTAGGGAAAGGACTATTAATGTCAGTATTTATATTTACATTAACAAATGAGGCTTCATTCAATTTTGTTTTACTGATGTAGTGTTATCCATAGTATAATAATTTTAATATAAACTTGTACACCTCTGACTCTCAACAACTTTGAAATCCCATTTAGGAATTTGTTTCGTTGAATTGTTTAAAGTCCCCTTGAGCTTACAGCCCTCTATATTAATACTATTTATTTAATTCAGTAATACATACTGCTTTTCCCATAGTCTCATGAGTTCCTAGATTTTTATCATTCATTTTAATTCTATGAAAAATATAATGTATAACTCTTTTATCTTGATGAATCAAGACAATTAGGAAGAGAGAGCAAAAAGTGTGCTAAAGACTTGGTCTCTGGCACCTTAAAGGCAGAAATATCAGTCAATCAAAGCCCTAACTAAAGTGACACTACCAATCAGTGGTCAAGACTAAATTAGATAAATTGACTTGATGTTTGTTTGTACAATTTACAATAGTGGTCCAAATTACTTAAGGAAAAGGGCACAATGCAGGAAGTCCTTGACTTATGTCCACAAAACTGAGGCCAACATTTCTGTTGCTAAGCAAGATAGCTCTTAAGTGAATTTTGT